AATTATATTTTCTATGTATATTTATATTTTAGGATCTAAAATTATTAAACAATTTAAATTAAACAAAGAAGACTTTGAGACGGATTCAACTCACTGTCAGAAATGTTACTTTTATTAATATTTAATATTCAATTTGTAACATTATTTTACATAACAGTATTTGTAAGTTCTGATTAATTTTTAGTGCTTATGTTTATATTTCTATAGTTAGAGCTTATAAATACTGCTGTTTAAAATAATGTTGTAAATTCGATATTAGATATCAATAAAAGTGCGTTGAATTCACTTTAAAGCTACTATAATATTATATGAAGTGTATGGAGTGTTATTTAAAAAGTTAAGATAATATTGATATTTTCATGAAAAATTTTTCATGAAAAATTTTTTATTATATAAGTAGTAGTTTATATAAAACAGATACATGTTCATTTTACAACTTTTTTTTTAAACTGTTAAAAGCGTCTAGAAAAACAAACCGTTACGATGAACATCTTGTGTACGCACACACGTAAAAACGCAACATATATAAAATATCCTCTTGATGCAGTTATACCAATATTACTGAACGTTTTATAAATATTATTTACAGAATGACATGATTATAATAGGATGTCAGTACATGAAAAATCTGGAAATATAAAAAAACAGAATGTAATTTCAGAATGTAACAAATTCATAAATAAATACTATAATCGTTACTATTTTATTTCAACATTATTTCTCCTTGTAGGAGTATGTTTACGGTATTTTTATAATAATGTATACTTGCATATATTACAGAAAATACGCCTTTGACCGAAGTAAATTTTAACGACGGTCTCTGGCGAATTCCAAATAAATTTTCGTGAACGGAAAGCTTATTTCCCGGGTAAAATCGTTATTGTGCGGATTTAAAATTTTTAATATTAAGCATTTTCATAAATAAATGCGAAATAAAAATTCCTCGTTAATGCAACATCCTCTTTAATTCGAGCGAAAGCAGAGTTTTTATTAACCGAGTGCAGTTCGTGAAGTTTTATCTGCGCGATACTCTTTTCAGTTCCTTAATTTGAAAGCTAATGACATTTCACATGTTTTTAATAGAAATATCAACTTAAAACTGGTCGAGAAGAGAGAATTAAACCAAACAGTCAAAAAAAGTTATAACAATCGAAATTTAACGCGATTAAAAAATGAATATTCTACTTATCGAGTGCTTATACTTAACAGGGATTTCCATCGGAGATTTTATAAAAATATAATAAAATTCTAAGAAGCTGATTTACGAGAAACAAAGATTCGCTGATACATGGTATTTTGTACACTTAATTTCAAAATAATTTGAGAACAATAATACCACTGTAAAAGCCGGGGAAAAAGTGATTATATAAAATTATATTCGATTATACATATATATATATATATATATATATATATATATATATATATATATATATATATATA